TTTCCCCACCACTGCCTGCCTCAGGCCCCCAGCCCAGCTTCATGGCACACCTGGCAGGTGCGGTGGTAGGGGTCAGCATGGGTCTGACCATCCTGCGCAGCTATGAGGAACGCCTGCGGGACCAGTGTGGCTGGTGGGTGGTGCTGCTCGCCTATGGCACTTTCCTGCTCTTTGCCATCTTCTGGAACGTCTTCGCCTACGACCTGCTGGGCGCCCACATCCCTCCACCTCCCTGATGGGCTCCCCAGGGCTGCACAGGCCAGGGCACTTTCCCCACCACTGCCTGCCTCAGGCCCCCAGCCCAGCTTCATGGCACACCTGGCAGGTGCGGTGGTAGGGGTCAGCATGGGTCTGACCATCCTGCGCAGCTATGAGGAACGCCTGCGGGACCAGTGTGGCTGGTGGGTGGTGCTGCTCGCCTATGGCACTTTCCTGCTCTTTGCCATCTTCTGGAACGTCTTCGCCTACGACCTGCTGGGCGCCCACATCCCTCCACCTCCCTGATGGGCTCCCCAGGGCTGCACAGGCCAGGGCACAGGTGTATGTGGGCTGGCCACCAGGCAAGCCTGCATGTCTGCTGTCTGTGAATGTATATCTCAAGACTGCTTCTCCTCTGTGGGGGCAGGTGTCCCCAGTAACCCACTGAGTCCAGGCCAAGCCTTACACCAGCCCTGGCCACCCCCTCCCAGGCCTGGGGAGGTAGGACTGCCTGGCCAGGCAGTGGAGGTCCCCAGGTGTGGCCCCAGAGGAGACCCTGCCCCGGCCTCTCCCCCACGATTTGCGGTCTGAGCCTTTTTGGAGAATGAATAAATATTTTACACAGCAGCAGGTGGCTGTACCAGGGCTCTGGGGGCTGTCCTGGCCTCCCTCCCACTCACTGAGCAGTGTAAGGGCTCTTCCCTCCATGTGGACAACCCGAGCTTTCCCCTTGCTTGTCTGCACTGGTGTGAGGGAAGGAAGGGTGTGTGTGTGTGTGTGTGTGTGTGTGTGTGTGTGTGTGAGTGTGAGAGAGACAGATGGGTGTGGGAAGGAGCTGTGGTCCTCATGGTCAGGTGTGCGTTCTAGCATTTGTTAAGGTCCTGCAGCAGCTAGCCTCCTGCTCAGACAGCCCGTCCTCCAGGGAAACCTGTGGCCTGAGGTTTCGGGCAGGTGAGCAGACCCTGGGCCACAGCCACGTTCAGGCAGCCTGCGCTCTGCACGTCTTGGCTGGCGTGGCGTCCTCAGGCATGGCCAGCCTGGGGCTCAGGTCCAGCAGCAGGTTGGGGCACAGCTTCTGTCCCACAGCCCATGTCCATACTGCCGCCTCGACATGGTGAGGGGTCCACGGCCCTGAGGGACCGCCTAGGAAGGGCCTAGGGGCCCAGAGACACTGTCCACTTGATCCTCCCGTACAGCTCTGCACACTGCTCCCCTGCCTGCCCACGGCCCCTCACCTCTGCTGAGGGCTGCAGCGGGGAGCGCTGGAGGGTGAATTGCGGCCACTGTGCGGCGGAACACGAAGGCGCCGCCTCCACAGCCCCTGCAGCCGGACTCGTGCCCCACCAGGGCTGGACCAGCTCGACGCAGGGCTGCCCTTCCCAGGGACCCGCAGTGTCATGGACACGGCCATGGGCCCATTTCTCAGGCAAGGACAAGAACCGGCCGGCTGCGCCGCGAGCCCGCGGGACACCCAGCTCTCCCGGCTGATCCGGGCCCGGGTGGGTTGGGGGGGGTCACGGGTGGTGGACCTCGCCAAGCGTTCCCGCCCCACCAGGAAGCTCCGCCCGCTCGTGGGAAGCCCTCACCGCCGGCTTGCACGCCCGCGGCCGCTCCGGCTCGTTTCGTGTCACGTGCTTCCCCAATCGGCCCTCGGTGGCCGCGGGCACTCCTCTCGGTGCCTGGGGAAGGGCGGTGACGGAGACTTGGGCAACGGGGCTCGTCCGCCCTACCGACCGCCCCCCCTCCTCCGCCCTACCATCGGTCGGGGATTTCCAGCCGCCCCTGGCGGTCCGCTCGCGCCCACGGCACCTCCCCGTGCGGCGCCAGGACCGCGGCCCGCGGGCTAGTGGCTGGACAGTCGCCTCGTTCGCAGGCGGGCGGGGCCTCTGCGGGGCGGGGCCTCTGCGGGGCGGAGCCGAGAGCAGCCGACCACCTTCTTGGCGCTGCTCCGGACTTGGACGCCGCGGGTCGTTTTGCTTCGAGCGCATGCTCCCAGCCGGCTCCGCCCCCTTCCCCCTCTGCCCGTGGAGCGCACGCGCGTCCCCGCCCGCCGCGCGTCCGCCCGCCGCGCTGGCCCCGCCCCACGCAGCCGGAACTTCCGGTGGCGGATCGCTGGACCGGGCCCGAGCGGATCGGGGGCTCGGGCTGCGGGCTCGGGCTGCGGGTGCAGGGCGGGCCAGACGCGGAGCCTGGGAGCGAAGCCCAGGCTGTGCCGCGCGGCGCCATGAAGGGCAAGGAGGAGAAGGAGGGTGGCGCGCGGCTGGGCGCCGGCGGCGGAAGCCCCGAAAAGAGCCCGAGCGCGCAGGAGCTCAAGGAGCAGGGCAACCGGCTCTTCGTGGGCCGCAAGTACCCGGAGGCTGCGGCCTGCTACGGCCGCGCCATCGTGAGTGCGCCCGCGCCGGGGGAGGGGACCGGCGTCCCGGCCAGGGGAGGGGGCGGGGCTCGGGGTTCGGTCCCGCGTCCTCCCCGGAGCCCCTGCCTGGCCATTCCCGCCGGACCTTCGGAGGCTCTTGGTTCGTACGCGGGGGCGTTGGGGCTCTGAGAGCTCAGTGATGGTCTTGTTTCCGTCGGGTCAGGGCCGCGGCTCTCGAGCCAGTGCTGGTTGCCGAAGAAGTACGGCGGGTGGGAGCTTCAGGGTGTTTGAGGCCCCCAGACCGAGGACCAGGGATCCTTGTCCCTTGAGAACCCCAGTCCCAAAGCTGGGGCTCTCCCCAGGTCTGGGAAACAGGCTTCCAAGATCTACTGGGAGTCAAGAGGGTGGGCTCATGCAGGCGTCAGGACCGGGAGTTCTCCCTCCAGCAGCCCGCAGTACGCAGGGGCTTCGAAGCTGAGAAGTTTCTGGTGTCGCGGTTCTAGCCGCGGGCTCTAAACTGGGCCTGGGACAGGGCCTAGGACGGAGAAAGGGCGCAGAGCTCACTCCCTCATGCTGGCTGGCCTGGCTTTGGTCCCCAGACCCGGAACCCTCTGGTGGCGGTGTACTACACCAACCGGGCGCTGTGCTACCTGAAGATGCAGCAGCACGAGCAGGCGCTGGCCGACTGCCGGCGGGCCTTGGAACTGGACGGGCAGTCTGTGAAGGCTCACTTCTTCCTGGGGCAATGCCAACTAGAGATGGAGAGCTATGACGAGGCCATCGCCAATCTGCAGCGAGGTGGGCCTACAGCTTGTCAGGGTTACAGGGGCGCCTGGGACCGGGCGGATGGACTGGCCGGGTGACCTGGAGCCCCTGTTCTCCTAGCCTACAACCTGGCCAAGGAGCAGCGGCTCAACTTCGGGGATGACATCCCTAGTGCTCTGCGCATCGCCAAGAAGAAGCGCTGGAACAGCATCGAGGAGCGGCGCATCCACCAGGAGAATGAGCTGCACTCCTACCTCACCCGGCTCATTGTGGCAGAGCGGGAGAGGTGGGCGGCGCTAGTGGCAGGCTCCAGGGCCCCACCCACCCCCAAGTCAGCACTCCGGGGTTAACGCTGAGTCAAGAACACAGGTGTTTATTGAAGGCCAACACTGGCGAGCAGGAGATGGAGGGAAGTGAGACCTGAATGAGTCCGAGGTTAGGGTGGAGTGTGAGCTCTTCTGGCCAGATCCATTTCTGACTAGCCCCTGGTCGACCCCCAGGGAGCTAGAAGAATGCCAGCGGAACCATGAGGGTGATGAGGACGATGGCCACATCCGGGCCCAGCAGGCCTGCATCGAAGCCAAGCACGTGAGGGTGCCCCAGCCCACGTGTGGATGTGTGCGTGTTTGCGTGCCTGTGTCGGGAGGGTACCCATGCCTGTGCCCGGGGAAGGGGAATGGGGCATGTGGCCCACGCGTAGCTGCTTGGTTCTTCGCAGGACAAGTACTTAGCAGACATGGATGAGCTTTTCTCCCAGGTGGATGAGAAGAGAAAGGTAAGCTGTCCGTCCTCTGGGTAGCAGAAACTGGAGCACTGTTCCTATCCCGGTGCCTAATGTCACCCCACGTGCTGCAGAAGCGAGATATCCCGGACTACCTGTGTGGCAAGATCAGCTTTGAGCTCATGCGCGAGCCATGCATCACACCCAGCGGCATCACCTACGACCGCAAGGACATCGAGGAGCACCTGCAGGTGAGGGCCCGCGAGTGCTGGGAGCAGGACCCGTAACCACTGAGCACTTTCTGACCCTGTTGTCACTGCACACTGCAGCGCGTGGGCCACTTTGACCCTGTCACCCGGAGCCCCCTGACCCAGGAACAGCTCATCCCCAACCTGGCCATGAAAGAGGTCATTGATGCGTTCATCTCCGAGAACGGCTGGGTGGAGGACTACTGAGGCCGGGCAAGGGCCAGGGCTGCCCACCTTGCCTAGTACCCTGGCTCAGGAGGGCCTTGGGGCAGTAGCTCCCAGTCCCTGTACATAGTTTGTGTCTCTAGATCTCTGCCCTGGTGTCCCCAACCCCACCCTCATCAGTTCTGCTGCTGGACCACGAGCCCCACTTCCACCCCCATCTGGGCCAGAAACAGCAGGCGAGGGTGGGCTGCTGCCACCGCTGTCCTGTAATAAAATCTGTGAGCACTATAGGGGTGTGTGCTGGTGTGTGCTGGGCTCACCAGCCGCCCAAGCTGGCTAGTTGAGGAAGGTAGAGATGAACACACTGGTGTCCAGATTGAGTGTAGCATGCCACCATCGGTCAGGGAAATACAGCACCTGGTGGAGGATAGGGAGGGGTACAGGGATTAGTTGGTGTGGCGTCGGGTCCAGCCTGGCCCCTTTGTGCCACCTACTGACCTCTCCAGCCTGGACGGTGCACTCCAGGGGCTTTGCAGATGGTACCAGAGTTGGGTATATGTCCTGAAACCAGGCCAGCGTGGTTTTGTTGGGATGGAACTCTGGTGTCTTCTCCGGGGGGTACAGGAACCAGCGCTGAGGGCGGGAGCAGCAAGGTCACTCTGTTGCAGTCAGTAAGCCCCAAGCCCCAGCCCCCATCGTGTGCTGACCTTGCGGCCGTAGATGACCTCTGAGAACCCCGGCCCGTGCCAGTGGAAGGGCACCCCAGAACCAGCTCCTGTGGGGTCATATGTGAGCAGCTGCTGACGCCACCCAATTTAGAATTTGCTCTTCCCTTCCAAATCCCCTTTGTAGGGTACTCACCTGCGATTCCAAAGCTGTAAGCAGTAGTGGTACCCAGCAGACTAAATGGTGGTGGGGAGTAGTGCTCAAAGAGCGATGCCCATTCGCTAAAATTGTTGTCCCCAAAGAAATACAGGGTGTCTGCCAACAAAGAAGAGAGAAGGTGCAGGGATCTTGGCACCTGGGCACTCCCAGATGCCCCTGCCCCTGTCCCACCCCATGGCCAACCAGATCGGACTCACCGTTGCCCAGGGAGGTAGGGTCCTGGGGATGCAGCAGGTGCTCCACATACTCCTGGAAGGGCAGGTCCACTGCGGGAAAGGGGCTGATCAGGACTGGCCGAGGCCGCGTGCAAGATGCTGGCATGCTGGCTGGGCCGCAGGGTGGGGCAGCTCACCTTTCCGGTAGGAGTAGGTATTGGCAGTGCTCAGGCGAACCACGGTGTCCCCAAACGAGGCCAGGAGCCTTTCTCGGGAGCACAGAGCCCGGAACCTCTGAGGGGGTGGGGAAAAGACTCAAGGACCAGGCCCAGCACGGGTGCCAAGTGGCCAGGAGGGGCGCCCGCACTCACCGAGTTGTCTGTGAGGCCCTGCAGGATGACGGGTCTGGAGAAGGCGTAGCTGGAAGGGCAGAGGCACAGCCAGGTCTCACTCTCCCCCACCCGCCCCAGCCCACCCGCGTTAGCTCAAAAGGGGGTTGCTCTCAGGGGGCGGGGGGGGGTTCGCAAGCAGCCCGAGGGCGCGAGCACTGCGGTGTAGGAGGGGTGGCCAGTGCGAGGGGGCGCACGTACTGCTGCACGAACTCGGAGTAGCTGAGGTCGGCCCGACGCTCCACCGCGCAGCGCTGCTCCTCTGCCAGGGCCTCCGGCGCCCCGGTCCCGCGCCCGCGCCGCTGCCTGCGGGCACAGCGGGTCAGCGGTCCGCCCCACCGCGCGCCCCGCCCCGCCCCGGCCGCCGGCGTCGCTCACCACCCTCCGTCGCCCGCTTCTCCGGCGCCGAGCTGGGCCAGAGCCGCCAGCGTCCACACCGCCAGCAGCAAGAGCGGCCGCGCCCCCGGCGCCATGAGCCCGCCGCCGAGAGGCATGCCGGGAGCTCCGTCGTCGTGGCAACGGCGCCCGCCCCGGAAGCAGTTCCTCGGGCCCCGCCTCGGAAGGGAGGGCACTTTCGGAAGGCTGCGCGAAGGCCGCGGGAAAAGGGACGGCGACGTGTCCCCCCCGCTCCCGAGTCGCCCGGCGCGGAGCCTGGGCGCGGCGGCGCGACGGCGGCGCACAGGCAGCCTCAGACTGCGGCTGCTGCCTCCTTTATTTGTGGCCCCCGCCCCGCCCCGGCCGAGCCCGCGCAGGCGGGTCAGGAGTACTCGCACAGGTGGCCGCAGCCCGCGGGGCAGTGCGAGCTGCCCTCCAGCCACTTCATGATGTGCTGCAGATGGCCGCCGTGGCTGCAGCCCTGGCACCACACGAACAGCCCCTTGACCACGTGGTGGCAGACGGCACACATGCTGGCGCAGCGGTGGCAGCGGTCACACACCCAGCCACGGCTGCTCATGGGCCGCTTGCAGTGGCTGCAGTTGACGTGCAGCGTGGTGGACGCCTGGTTGAGGCAGCTGATGGCGCGGCTGGTGCTCAGCTTGACCACCTGGTTGGACACGTTCCAGAGGCAGAAGCGCTGCAGCAGGTCGATGTAGGACGTGTACCAGTGCTCCTGGTGGGGCGGGCGGGGCGGGAGGCCGAGGCCTGGAGGCGGGCATGCTGGGGGCTCCCCCCAACCGGGGCCCGCTGGGGGCGGGAGGGGGGCGGGGGGGCGAGTACGGAGAAGGCAGTCCTGGGGGTGGTGGGGACCCCCCCGCCAGCCCAGTCACCCACCTGCGTCTGCTCGTCGATGTCCTTTCGCACACGCTCGCCCAGCACAATGAGCACGGACACAGCCATCTGCACGTCACCCTGCTCTGCGTAAAAGCGCAGCATGTCACACACCAGGGCACTGAAGAAGTCGGGGGGCAGGCGGGTGTCGTAGAGAGCATGTGACACGGAGATGAGCGAGAAGGAGGAGTCCACGGGCGCCAGGGAAGCTGCGTCTGCCTCGCTGCCGCTCACGTGCGGGGAGTCCGCCTTGTCCTGCAGGTGCTCGGGGCCCGGGGGCGTGTCCACAATCTCGTGGCGCAGGGGGAAGGCTTCCTGAGGCAGCACGTACTCCGGTTCCTCCGCTGTGAGGCAGGGATGGGGAGGGCAAGGTCTGAGCCTCTGGCCCCACCAGCCAGCGCCACTCCCCGAGCCCCGACTCACGGTGTGCGTGTTCCGGGTCCAGCAGGTACAGCTCGTCCTCCTCGCCCTCCACGTCGCCCAGCAGGTAGTCTGCAGGCACATCGCTGCCCTCTGTCTCTTCGTTATCTGCCCACGACGGAGGCGGGATGCGTTGCAGGGGAGCTGATTCTGGGACGCTCTAGCCCCACTCCCCTCAGTGCCCTGTCCGCCCCCCAGCCTACCCTCATTGGTGATGAGTGTGGTCGAGGAGTCAAGCAGCACTGTGTCGCTCCGTGTGTCTCCCTTGCTACGGTCCAGCCTGGTCTCACTGCCCAACCCTGGGGCCATATCTTTCAGGTTGAAACTGGGGGCAGGGAAGGCCAGTGGGTCGACGGGCTCCAACAGTCCCCACCCTGAGGAGAGCCACCCCCAGACATGTACCTGTTCATGAGTGGCAAACCGCAGGAGCTGCCCTTGCCCACGCTGTGGTTGAGGCTGGCGGCAGACGCCAGGCCAGGGCTAGAGTAGATGACCCGCAGCATGGTCCAGGTCTGCGCTACCTAGGGGCAGGCGCCAGGCACTCACAAGCGGTCTGGGTTCCCGGCATCCCATGCAGACCACCCCCCCGCCTCCTGGACAGAACCAGACTCAGACTCAGTGTTCAGCCGCCCCAGGCACCCAATGTCCTGGTCCACCCCAGCTGGAGAAACGGACGCCTATGCCAAAGGCGCAAATCTGATCTCTGTCCTACGAGGGCACAGGAAGGAGCAGAAATTGGAAGCAGCGAACAAGGAAGTGAGCCCATGGGCTCAGGAAGACAGCGAGAAGCAATGTGATCCTTTGTAGAGTCAGACACCTTGGGAAATCCGAAAGCAAATGTGAGCCACGAGAGGGGGCTTGGACACCGTAACGCGCCAGGCCTGCACCCCAGCGGTGGCACTGGCTTCTGGCCCACTTCAGGGCACAGGGTACCCTCAGTTACCAGAGTGGTGGCTGGTGGTGGCCACCACCAGAGCTGAGCGCTGAAACCAGAGTAGGGTCTGGGTAACCAGTTGGGGGTGCCCCCAAGGCCACGGTCCCTGGATCGCCCCACCTACCTGGTTTCGGCCAAGCTCCCGAGCCACTTTGGCATTGTGGTCACAAAGCTCGGCAAGAGGCCGACCGGCCAGGGCGTAACGCTCAGCGGTGTCCACGAACCAGCTCATGCTGCCGCTGCCAGGCTCCATCTCAAAGACACTGAGGGCACTAGACGCAAGGCCCACAAAAGGCTCGGCAGGGTCCAGCTTGCGCTTGAAGAAGATGGGGTGGCGCCGATCACCGGCATAGGGCTTGCGCCCAGACTCGGTGGACACCAGGCTCTCCTTAGCAGCAAAGGCCAGGTCCCCAAAGAGGCCATAGCAGAGGCCCTCGGGGTTGGCACGCTCGACAGGCTGGCTGGCATCGCGGAACAGGTGCTGGCACAGTGTGCTGTCCTTCGAGCCGGAGAGCAGGAAGGAAGGGTCGTGGGGGTGGCGCCAGGCAATGCCTGTTGTGACGTCACGGTGCTCCTCAAACATGGCAGCCGGGACAAAAGGCCGGCGCACGTCCCACACGTAGATGTTATGGTCCACCATCATGGAGCAGGTAGCCAGGTGGTGTCGGCACTCAGGCCGCCACTTGACTCGGGCTACCGAGGCGATGGTCTGCACGCAGTGCACCTCCTTGGCGCGGTGCGTGGTCATGTCCCAGACCTTCACCATCTTGTCACGCCCACCTGTGGCCAGCCAGCCCCTGTAACAGATCCATGAAGCCCTCAGTGTCCTCGCCAGGGATGGAAGGGCTCCCCACTCTGCCTCGCAGGTCTGGAGGCAGCCCTCCATAAGCCCACTCGTCCCACCCTGCTGCCTGTGCCCGCACACCACCCCGCCCCACACCTGTCCTCAGGGTGCCAGTCGCAGCAGAAGACAGGCCCGTTGTGGGCAGTGAACATCCTCTCGCAGCGGTCGGGCCGCCGGATGTCCCAGAGCTGCACGTTGCCATTCTCGAAGGTGGAGGCGAAGGTGAAGTAGTCCCGGATGCTGAATTGGACGTCCCGCACGCTCTCCGACTGGCCTGTGGGCGGGACATCATTGGAGGGAGAAGGTGAGGCTCCGGGACAGAGAGCAGCCAAGGCTGGAGCCGTCGGAGGGGCTGCGGACTGCAGCCACGTGCCTGACCGCAGCAACAGCGGGGAGGCTAGCAGAAGGAGTAGACGGCCCTAAGCCTGCCTGGGGCGGACGGTGGCAAGAGAGGCTTCACACAGAAGAAATGGCAGACCAGGCCAGGGAGCGGGATGCCAGGCGCCATGTAGTTTTTGAACCAAACCCCTGGACCCCAGTTCTCCCCTGGATTGTGCGGATGCTGTCCCTGCACAGAGCTGTGGCGTGGCTCCAGGACTGGCTGTCAGACCACTGAGCTAACGGGAGCCTTGCCGTGCTGTCGGTATGCACTCCCCCGAGAGAGGCCCGAGGCAGCCTGCATGAGGGTCCCCCAGCGTCTGCCGCATCCCTTCCCCTTGAGCTGGAGCTGCTGGGTCCGCCCTAGGGAACTGGGGACCTTAAAGGTCTGTGTCCACCCCCACGGACCACCACCCCAAGAGCCTTCAAGGAGGCTCGCGTTTCCACACTGCAGGTAGCTCAGGGTCTTGGGAGGCCCCCAGTGCTCTGAGGCGACGGAGGGTTCTGCCTCATGCTTCGTGTGGTCTCTTCAGGGTGGACACAACCTCGATGGCGCAAGGCCAGCTGTCAAGAAGCTGGGCCTGCTGGGAAAAGAACTGGATGGGAGGGCGGGCAGCATATCCCACCCTCTCTCTGTCCTGGAGGGGAGGCCCTGGTGGGCTTCCTGCATGAAGCGGCCTGGAGCTTGGAGGCAGCAAGACAGACCCTCCGCTCAGCAGCCCAGCTTGGCTGCAGCCCCCTCAGGCCGGCCCTCTCCCTGGTCCCATACCCGGCCCCTCCCGGGCTGGCCCGCACCCACGCTTCTGGTGCTCTCCGGGAGCAGGTGTGAAGACCTCTGATGCCCACCACGCACTTCTCCACCTGCCCGACCTGCCTCCGGGGCCTCACCCGAGAAGGTGCTGACGGAGTCCTTCCTGCGGAGGTCGAAGCACTTCATGAAGCCGTCCTGGGAGCCGCTGAGCAGCACGTGGGCCTCGGTGGGGTGGAAGCAGACTTTGTTCACCGTGCGCTTGTGCTCTGTGAACAGCTGGTCCTGCTTGTTCCGGGACGGCCGTCCCAGGTTCCAGGTGACCACCACACCGTTGGTGGCCGCCGTGGCCAGCAGGTTTTCATCCATCTGGTGCCAGACCACGTCCGCGCAGCTCAGGTTGAGCGAGGGCTTGCGGCCCACACGGAGGTTCAGCTTCTCCACAAACTGCTCGTCCTCAATGGCGTAGATCTTGAAGATGCTGCGGCCGGCCACGACCACCTGGGCCGCGTCCCGGCACACGCTGATGGCATTGGCCGGCGCATCCAGGTGGCAGTGCATGGTGCGGCCGGTCAGCGCGCTGCCACCCAGGGCCGTGGTCACTCGGGACATCTTCTCCATGTCTGCGCCGGTAGGGGGGACAGGAGGTCGGTGACCGGAGCTGGGCTGATGAGCCCGGCGGGGCCTGTCACTTACGACCCTTCACCCTGGTTGGGTCCCCCCGGATGGCTTTGTCCTGGACGGGTCAGTCTTGGCGAGCCCGTCCGGAACAGCGGGCTGCCCCTCAGTGAGGAGACATCGCTGTCCCGCAGCTCGGCCGTCCGGTCTGCCTTCCGGGGAGCCCCTACCTGGTCCGTCCCAGCCCGGGCCAGCGCTCCATGCCAACAGTCGGATCGGGGCGATCCCTGGTCTTTCGGTCCGTCAGTCCCCGCAAGGAAGCGAGGGAGTTCCCGCGGTCCACACGGTGCGTCCGGGGGCCTCCGGGGAGGGACAGAGGGGCGCGGGGGACGCACACGGGCGCCAAGGACCGAGCCGTACAGGGAGCCTGAGGGCACTGGCCGGAGGTCGGCGGCGCGCGCGGGGGAGCGGAGGCAGCGGGACGGCGGCCAGGGGGCTTGGAGAAGCCTCTCCCTCCGCGACCACCACGACTCTCTCCTAAACTTGCCGGGCCGGGCCTGGCCGGAACCGCCGCGCCGGAAGCAGCCCTTCGCTTTCCTGTCCCCCGGCGCCCGGCTCGCCGGAAGTAGCCCCGTCTTGCCCGCCTCTCACCGGAAGCGGGCCCCCGCGCCGCAAACGTTCCGGATCAAGGAGCCGAGCTCGTGGAGGCGGAGGCATCGACCCGAACGGAGGTAGAAGCGCTGCCCTGGGCTCCCCCGGTCTCGCCCCAGCGGCCGGTCTTTTTGCCACAGAGTTTGCATGCTAGTGCCCGACTGCGCCGGCAAGCCCATCCCCCCTGACGAGCCCCGCATCCCTCCAGCCGTCTCCCCGGGACGCCCGCCGCAGCCGCCGCTCCGGGGCCCACCCCGCGCCCGGCGCGCTCCGAGCAGCGGCCGACGCTGCGCGCTGCGCGCTGTGCGCTCCGCGCTGCAGGCTTCGGCCTGGGGCCGCGCTTCCCGCGGCCTCCCTGGGCCCTCGCATCCAGCAGGGGGTCTCCGCGGCGCTCGGCCTCCGGGTCCTGCTTGTCTGTCGCACGCACGCGGCTGGCCCCTTGCTCACGCGGGGCTCGCGGCTGCCCGGGTCTCCGCAGACTCCAGGGCCTGGCAGGACCCACTGCTCCGCGCAGCCCGCGCCACCCCGAGAGCGTTTCGGAACCTCCCTGCCTGGTGTGGCATCTGCTCTGCCCTGCTGCGCTGCGGGCTCCTCGGCGTCCCCGCCCTCTCCGGAGTGAGCTCAGGTCCCGGACGCACGAAGCAGGGCGCGTTTTTGCCCTTCTGGCAGCCTGGGCTAGGTTTATGGACGTATTTGCACGAGAGAGCGCTCGGGCGTGAGTGGGGGGAGGGGCGTCCATCTCAGGACCCTGAGGCCACGACCCGAGCCAAAGTCAGAAGCTTCACCGACTGAGCCGGGGCGTTTCGAGGTTAATATTATGTGCGATGACCGCAGCATCATTCACTTCCCTCAGAAGCCCTGAAAGGTCAGGGACCTTCTCTTCTGGCCACTGCTGTGTTTCCTGTCTGTGGCCCCAGGCCTGTGCGTGTTGAAAGACCCAGTAAGTCTGACGAGCCGAGAGGTGCACAAGAATCCCGAGCCTTGGGGCACGCCGCGCGCACACACCTTCCCTCGCCGTGGTCTGATGACCTCCAAACTCAGACACGTGTTTTTACAACTTTTTTAATATATATTTTTATAAACAGGTCACGTGATAAAATAGCACAAGAAACACTTACCAAATATAAGGTTATATCTTCCGCATATACAGGAGAATGAGGTCGTTATGTACAATAAGAAAATGATTTTCGGGGTTGGTTGGTTTTGTTTGTTTTCCTCTCTCCCCTTAATTTTTCCTCCTACAGTCGTTGCAGTTGCAATAATACTTTGGACAAACGGACAGCTGCCTCCTCCCCACTAGGGAGCTGTGCGGAGGAGGGGCTGAAGAAACTGGCTCCTCACCACGTCAGCCCCGGAGCCTCCCGAGGGCACTCCAGGACAGGGAAATCTTTGGGCTGTTGAACTCTTTCTCTGCTTCAACAGCATCTCTCGCTCGCACGCTCTCGCTCTCTCTCTCTCTCTCTCTCTCTCTCTCTCTCTCTCTCTCTCGGGACTGGTTTCTTTCTCCCAACCAGATTGGCGGGGGGGGGGCGGGGTTGTCCCAAGATTGGGTGTGGGCACCGTACTTCCTGGGGCTCAAGGTTGGGATGGGAAGGGGTCCCAGCCCCCTCCTCAGCAATTGCCAAGATGTGCCAGTGTCTCCCCAGGGCTCGCATGTGTCTTGGGACTGGACAGAACATGGCCAGAGCCCACCTGGGCAGGCGGAGGTTTGGGAAGCTGGGAAGGGGAGGGGGGCAGCTAGAAAGGAGCCCTCCCTCCGCTGGGTGCTGGGGGTGTGTTGGCCACTTGTAAGACTGGACTTGCTGGCTGGGCCTTGGCTGGGGCCCATTTGTCCAGCCTCCACCTGACAGAGACCCACCCAGGATACAGTATGACACTGAGGAGGCTGGGCCTGGCTGGCTACAGGGGCTGTGGTTGGGGTCCATCAGGACTGCGTGCAAGGCTTGCCGGGCCTGAGGGTCGCTCCAGCTTGTGGTCTGTCAAGGTGGTTGTATACCCCCCCTCCCCGGTTGAGGTAAGCTACAGCCGGCTTGGTTAACGTTGATTATAGCAAGATCATCCGCCAGTCTGTCCCTCCCTCAAACACAGTTCTTCCCTAGCCTGGCCCAAGGACCTGTAGGCTTGCAGGTGGGGATGGGGCGAGCAGGGGGCTGCCTCCTACAGCGGCAAGGAAAAGGGGAGGTCTCTTGGGTCAGGCTGGCACGAAGTGGGGCAAGGGCAGGGGGACTTGGGCTCCTTGGCGGGCCATGGCTTTGGCGGTGGCCTGTTCCCCCTCGCACCCCTCCGAGGGCTCCAGGCGCGGTGCAGTGGAAGATGCGGGAAGCCCTTGGGGCTCTTCTGGCCCCTGTGTCCTGGGGGACCCAGCTCCCCTCAATCCCTCTGGGCCCTGCCCGAGATGGGGGGACAGCGGGGGAGACAGAGCGGGGTGTGGCGGGGAAGGCGGTAAGGGGGGCCGTCAGGAGAGCTCAAAGCGGCCCCCAGGACCGAGCCCGACCCCTGCCTCCCCCCCAAGAGTGTCGACGAAAGATGGAGGCGGCTGTGTTGCGGTGGAGGGCGGGCGTGCAGTGCGGGCACGAGGGGCATGCACAGAGTCCCGAGTGTGCGTGCGTGCGTGGGGCTGGGCCCGCCCGCCGCCCCCCCCCTTGTCCGGGCGGGGCCAGGAGGGGCGCGGTGGGGGGCGCTTTCACTGGGTTCGCCCTGCCTCCGGCGCTGGGCCGGGGGCGCGAGGGCTCCCCGAGGGCAGGGCCGGGAGAAGGCGTCCCCGCCCGGAGCGTGGCGGCTTCGTGCTCCGGGGGCGGGGAGGCCCGCGCTACTCGATGACGAGACAGCGGGGCAGGTGCTGCGAGAAGTACTTGAAGAGCTCGGGGGTGGCCCCGGGGCAGTTGGTCAGCTCCAGTTCCTCCAGCTCCTGCAGCTGCACCAGGCCCGACAGCCCCGTGGTGGTCAGCAGCGGGCAGCCTGCAGCGGGCGGGAGGCGGGGCGGCGTCTGAGCGCGCCGCGGGGGGCGGGGCTCGCCCGGCGTCTCCGTCCGGACCTGGCCCTGGGACCCCGGGACGGAGCTCCAGGTGGGATTCAGCGCGAGGGGCCCGGCAGGGCTGGCGGAGTCGGGTAAGTTGGGGACGGGGTAGTGGGGTGGTGGGGGTCTCACCTGCCAGAGACAAGAGACGCAAACTCCTCATGGCCAGGAGGTGCTTCAGCCCGAAGTCCTGCACCTGGGCGGGAGGGCGGGGCGAGTTAAGGAGCTCCCCTCGCGCCTGCGGGGGAGCCCACTGCTGGGGACAGGCCTTGGGCCTTGAGGCCGGGAGCTGCTGGAGGGGCGGGGGGCGGGGCTCAAAACGGGGGTTTCTCGGCTTCCGGAGGAGCCAGGAGGCAGCTGGGGAGTGGCGGTGAGGTCTGCGGGGAGTCCGTAAGCCCCGCCTACGTCGCCCGCTGGGTGGGGAGGGATCCCACACTTCCTCGCAGGATCCGAGGGGCCCGGGAGTAGGTCGGCGGGTTGCCTGGGCGGGGGCTTTGCCCGGGTCCCCCTCTTCCCCTTGCCTACTCCCCAGTCTTCGGAGGCGGGGAAGGCCGGTACCTGGCAGCACCATCGCAGGTAGAGGCTGCGGAGGGACGACATGGTGGACAAGTAGCTGAGGCCAGTGTCGGTGATGCGCACACACCTGTGGGGGCGACAGAGGGGCGCTGCCCGCCTTCAGATCACCTCGCGCCGCCCGTCATTTCCGAGCCCTTCCTCCTTTCCCGGGGCGTCCCCCCCTGCAGGGTTTATGATAGCCCCTCCCTTGCCACGGCCTTGCCCCCGCCAGGCCCCGGCCCCTACTCTGGAGCCTGGTAGTTACAGCGCACTCTGGGCCCCGGGCTTCGGAGGGCCTGCCCCTCAACCCACGCCCCATGGCTCCGTAGCGCCGCTCCAGCTACAGCTCTGCTTATTAATCTAGGCTCCCTGCTTAGACGCTCTCGCCCGCCTTGCCCCGCCCCGCCCCGGTCGTGCCCTCCACCTGTCCCGTGGGTGGGGCACGCGCGCACCTGTCCAGCACCAGCTCCTCCAGGCGGTGCAGGTCGCAGGCCACGTACTCCAGCGCCATGTCGGTGATGCGCGGGCACCACGAAAGGTCAAGGCTGCGCAGCTTGCGCAGGTTTTCGGCCACGAGCTCCACGCCGTCGTCGGTGACCTTGGAGCAGCCAGAGAGGCTGAGCGCCGTGAGGTTGGGCAGGCTGTGCACCACGTTGACCACGCCATGGTTGGTGATCTCCCAGCAGGAGAGCAGGCGCAGCGTGTGCGTGCTGTGGCCCTGGCGTGCTGTGAAGTAGGCCAGCGCCGTGTCCGTCACGTGGTAGGCCTGCAAGCTCAGCTCCGCCAGGTTGGGCAGCAGCTGCGAGATGGCCGCAATGGCGTCGTCGGCCACGTTGATGCAGTCGCTGACGCTCAGTGAGGTGATGCGTGCGCTCAGGCTGGACCACAGCCCCGCCTCGGTGAAGTCGTTACAGCCCGACAGCTCAAGACGCACGACGCCCTGCATCTGCTCCAGCATCACCTGCAGGCGGGCAGGCGGCAGGGTGTGGTGAGGGGGCGGGGCCCGCTGGGGGGCAGGAAGCAGGGCTCCCGGATGTAGACGTGTGTAACACATGCATCAAGCCGCTCTGTGACAGGTGCCCCTTACGGTGGGTTTGTCCCATCATGGCCCCGTTCTAAGAGGCAGAGCACAGGGGACCTGGGAGCTCAGGGCCGCACCAGAGCAGGTGCTGGGGAGCAGCTGGTGTTACTGATTTGAAGCTTAGAATCCTGGCCCTGGGGCAGGGGCCAAGGGTTTCACAGGCACATAGGCCCTGAGCTTAGGAGAGCCTCCCACTGGATGGATTGATTGCTTTGGTGTGGCTGTCTTGAAATTCTTAATCATCTTTGAACAAGGGACTTGAATTTTTCATTTTGGACTGGGTCCCCCAAATCGCATAACTAGTCCTGCTTCCCCTCCCCCCAGAGCCACAGTCTTCAGAGCACCGGCACTTCCCTCAGCCACTTTGCTCCTCGTATGCCCAAGTTCCCTCTGGGGGCACCCCCCCCACCCATGCACACACACGCCAGCTCAGTTGCAACCGCTTGGCCCTGCCCACACCATCCCGGTCCCTTCCAGGCCAACAGTGGGGCGCACCTCCAGGCCGGCATCTGTGATGGTGGAGCGCTTGAGGCTCATGGCCTTGACACCCTTCTTAGAGAGGGCATAGTTGTCGATGAACTCACAGATGTCCAGGTCGGAGACGCCAACCAGGCAGAAACCCTCAAAGCCACGCGCAGCGAAGCCCTGCAGGTTCACAAACTCCTTCTCGCCACTAGGCAGCACGTTGTAGAGCTCCTTGGCATGCAGCACAGGTGTGAGGCCTGCCCAGAATTTGGGCTGGTAGAGCACACGCCGCCAGGCCTTGCACACTTGGGCCAGCACACACTTCTCACAGGCTGAGAAGTACCAGAAGAGGCCATTGAGGATCTTTTCATCTGTGGCCAGTGGTGGCCGCTCCACTGGGGGCCCGGGAACAGGGGCTGAGGCTGGTCCACCAAGGGGGAGCCCCGGTGGGGGGCACAGGCCCCCAACCAGGGCAGCCCGTGGCAGTGGGGAAGCCAGGCTGGGTGGTGGGAGGGTAGGTGGGGGAGGGGGCTGGCAGGGGCGGTTCTTAGCAGCTGGTGTGCCCTTGGTGATACTGGCTGCACCCAGGCCGTTGGGCTGGCCTGGCAGCTTCACCAGGCCATTGCGAGGCAAGCATGGAGGCTTGGGGTCGCCGTCCACACCTGGGCTCGACATCTTCCTCGCTCAATCTGTGGACAAAGGCCGGGTGGGGGTAATGAGTCGCTGTGGGAAGAGAGCTGGGCTCCCCATCCCCGGGCATGTCCTCCCATGGCACTCCCAGAACCACCCAACAGGAAGGATCTGAATCCAAGTCACTCCTTCCCTGACCGTGAGCAGCGACAGGAAGTCAGGGCTATTCATGACCATGACATTCCCTGAGCACCTACTGTGTGAGCTGAGCTCCACCTGTTCTCACAGACTTTTTTGACCACATAGGCACTATAGTTCCCATTTTAGAGATAAGAAAAGAGAGGCAGGCAGAGACAGACATAGAAAGACTCTCGCTCATGACGGCCCCCTTCACCTTTACTACTCCAGTGCCCACTCTCAGTGCCTGCCCTGCCTACCTCTACTGGGCAGGGACTGCAGAACTGAAGGAGATGGTTTGGGGTGGTCTCGGGCTCCTCCACTATGGGGTGCCATCATGGCTGTCTGGAGTGGCTCTAGTACGTGTCTGAGACTCACATACCAGCCCCTGAGGATCTCGGTGGCTATAGGATCTACCCAATAATCTGTCCAAAGAAAGGGCAGACTTTACCATGATGCCAGCACAGTGAGCCTTGGACACGTACTGTCTCTTTAATCCTCCATCCAACCCATTGATGGTGATATTATGATGACTGTGCCCATTGTACAGATGAAGAAAACAAAGCAGCATTAACTATTTGCCCAAGGTCACCATAAGTGGCGGAGCCAAGGCTTGAACCAGAGCTGGCTTTGGAAGCCTATTTGTAGAGAGTTCCTCAGAAGGTGGGACTGGACACCCCCCACCACTCCCCTCTCAGGCCTCTGAGGCTGTGAACGGGTGGCAGACGGCTTGGAGCACAGACAGCCCTGGAGAGGGGGACAGCCAGACCCTCACCGTGCCACCATCTGCTCCACATTCCAGATCATCTCCTGCCCACCCCCACTCCAGACATCCAGCGGAAAGGCACTGCACCCAGGGGCTCAGGCGCAGTCTCCGGGGTCACACAGCCAGGCTCTGTGGCCTCAGTGAGCCACTTCCTTGCTCCAAGCCTCGTTTTTCCTTACTTTGAAGCCCGAGAAGGGATGACCCACCCCCACAGCACAACATGTGAAAAGAGCTAAGCATAGTGCATGGCTCACAGTGAGCGTTTGGAAAGTGGCACAGAGGCTGCTTCTGAGCCCCACGGCCCACCTTAGGGGAAGGGGTCAGGAGCCACTGGGAGGGAGAGAAGCAGGCTGCCCTGCCCTGCTCTACCCAGCACCATGCCCCCCACTGGCTTCAAGCCCTGGACTCAACCCTTGCTGGCATCCCACACCTGGGGAGGGGTGCAGATCTAGGCTGGGACCAGGAGTCTACTGGAACATGGGGCCCTCATGGCTGCCAACCCAGCTTTGGGTCCAAAGGCCTTCTTGCCCTGGCAGCCATGAGACCCCAAGCTGGCAATCCACATCAGGCCAGCTCTCCTTAGGGGAGGCTCCCCCACTCTGGCTGTCCCTTTACTGCAGGAAAGTAGCAGCCTCACACTGGCTGAAACATGACATTCGTAACAACGTTTGCTGAATACCCACTGGGATAATCACGTGTTCCAACCTCATGGCAGGGGTGTGCGTGTGTGCGTGTGTGTGTGTGTGTGTGTGTGTGTGTGTGTGTGTGTTGGGGGCACCACTGTTAACCTCACTTTCAGATTGGGAGCCTGAGGCTCCAAGGAGTTACAGGTGACCCACAGTGACAGATGGGGGTGCAGCCTGACATGAGGGGTGCCCCAGATCTCTTAAAACTAGTACGTGAGGAAGAGACCATGGTGGAACAGCAGTGCCTCATGGAGGGACAGGAGGAAGCCCACGACGGGTCCCCACTCCAGGGAGCAGGGGAGAGGCTGTCCTGTGGACTCCCTCCTGTGGGCTGAGCTGGGCTCAGGGAGGCAGCCCCAGCGTGAATACCTTCTGCGTCCCCGGATCGGGGTGCCACGATTTCAGGGCTCGGGGCACGCCGCCCACCCAGCCTCTGCCGCTTCCTGCTAGCTCGGCCGCGGAGCGCAGCACCATGGACAGCGCCTCTCCAGCCGCCGTGCGCGTGCTCGGAGGCCAGGCCCGGGCGCGCTCCACCGCGGACAGCGGCTGGTGGGGGCGGGGTGGGGGCCGGGCTCGGCAAAGTCAGCCGAGCAGGGACAGGCCCTGCGGGCGACGGGGCGGGGCGAGAAGCCGCCCGCTCCGCCAGGATCCGGAGACGGCGGAGGTGGCACCAGGGGAGAAATAACTCCGGAGCAGTGCCGATTTAGGTTAAAGATGCTCCCAGCCACGGGTGTGCACGTGGAGTGCCCGCGTTGGTGGTGGGGGGCGGGATGCACGTGGATGCCCCGGGCGTCTGCGGGGCTCTTTACCCGCACCCCACCGGAGCTCACATTTGCACACGCCCACAGTCCCATCCCCACTCTTCAGGCCTCAGGGTGGAGCTGGTGAAGACAAGCCGGCCGGCCGAGAGAGCCCGCGGGAGGGAGGGGCCAGGCGGGGGATGGCCTCAGCCCGGGGAAGGGGGGGAGGTGTCCGAAGCCTGGCTGCCCTTTATCCCACACCCACATCCTGGCCGCCAGGCCCTGCCCTGCCAGCCCGTCAGCCCTTCTGCTGTGCCCCGGGTTGGAACTGCTCTTCCTGGAGGCATCCCTGCGGCTCCCCGACCTTGTCCATGGTCCTGCCCGGCTCCCGCGGCACACCCCAGCCTCACTGACCCAGCCTGAGAATCCCTTGCTCCGTGGTTCAAAACTGGAAACAGCCACATCTTGGTCCAGGGGTCAGAGCTTTAGGAGAGAACTGAGCTTGTGGTCAGCGATGGGTCCTTCTGTCAGACAATAGGTCCCTTGGTGGGGGGGGGCGGTGCTGGGACATGTGCTCCTCTGTCTAGTCCCACCCACCCAGGCAGATGGGCTGTGAGACCCCAACCCTTTTGGTACCTGCTACTGCACACAGTGAGGCTCAGAAGACCTGCCTGGAGTTTCTCGTTAGGATGGGGTAGGGTCAGCTGCCAATCTGATGTGGACCGCCTCCTCCTTTAGAAATAAGCACCAGGAGCTAACGCTAGGAAAAGAGGCGTTTTAAAAAGATGGCCAAACTTGCACTATTCTCAGCCTCAGCCCCGGGTGTGTTGTGCCTCCGTGTGGAGCGGAATTCTGGAGGAGGTCCTCCTGGGATAGGCTGCGGGGGCTCAAGTCTCCTGGGAGGACTCCAGAACTTGGTGGCTTCCAAGCTGACAGTCTGCAGATGTCAATGCTGAGGCTCTGAAAGGAGCTGCCTCTTTTGCCATCGAGTCACAGGGCCCCGAGCCCTAGCATGTCCATGTTACAGCTTCCTTCACCTCTGGCTCCTCACCAGCCTTGAACCTACAGCCCAGCCAGACCCCCTGTTCTGTATTCCTGCTCCTCTCTCCCTCTTTGCCTGGGCACATGCTGGTCCCCCTGTTTGCTCAGGAGGCCTCCCTGCTTCTTCATCCTGCCAGCTCCTTATCCTCCACCCCTCAGTGTGATTGCCACCCCTGTCTCCCACTGGGAGACTCCCCAGCACTGAAAAAGCATCTCCAGGGTCTCAGTCATTACTGTCAACCCATCTGTCTCTTCCCTTGGCTGGGGACTTCTTGAAGACAGGCAGCACTGCAGCTGAATGGCCTCTTAATGCTTGCTGAATGAATGAATGAGGAATGGCAGTCGCCAGGATCATGCCGAAAGGGGTGTGGCTGCCAGGTGCCCAGGAGGCTTGGTGGAGGACAGGCCAGATTAAGAAGAGGGCAGGTGGATGGTGGTGGTGGTGGTGGGGGATGTAGCTCAGTTTGTTAATCCTGGTTGAGACAGAGGCCAGTGTCCACAGCGAGGGTGGTCGCTGGGGTCTGTGGTAGGCCTTGCAAGTAGTCAGACTCTTGGGAAGAGGATGGCTTATACCTCCTTTCTGGCTGAGTCCCCACTTTGGGAGTTGCACGGTAGGGAGGCTGGCTGCCCATCCGCCACAATCTGGCCATATCCAAAGAGGGCACAGGAGCCACCAGAGGAGAGGGAGGAGCTGCCCTGATTTTCCCAGTGCCACTCTGCTATTGCTGGTCCCTCACACACTTCCTGACCACAAGTGGGGAAAGGGAGAGTTGGGGACAATTTCAGAGGTTGCACAGAGCTGGAATTTGATCCTAGAACCCCCAGTCAGTCTGACTCCCAAAGATCAGACTAGGCACTGAGGTGCAGAGGGCAACGCTAGGCCTTTCCCTCCTTTCTGTGCCCTGTTCTACTTGTTCAGTCCCCTGGGTCCTCCCAGCCTGGGACCTTGGGCTGCTGGTCTCTCCCAGCACTGTCTCTGTTGTGCCCCTGCTCTCACTCGAGAGGCTGCAGGATGCATGCCCACCCCCAGAACACCCTCTTTTTGGACTGCTCACGCCTAGGAAACCCCCAACTCCTCATGGCTTCCAACTCAGAGATCTCTGCCTTCATCTCTTATGCTCTGTCTGACAAAGGCTTCCCGGAGTGCTGGAGGGGTCTGGCCCCAGCAGGACCTGCACTGACCATTTCTCCCTGCCCACTGAGGGCCGTGCGGCTGGGCAGAGCATGGGCAGCCTGAGAAATTCACATCAGGTTGATGTGTGGTGACAGCCCCAGGGATGGGGGTGACAACCAGGGTAGCTTGGGACTGGGGACACAGCGCGGGCTGACGAACTCCATGACAAGCCCCGTGACTCAGGCACAGTCACATCCCTGCCACTTTGCACATGAGCCAGCAAAATGCTCCCTTCCCGCCCCCAGCACAGAGACGCTTCTGGGGTGCAGGCTGCCCCACCCGTGCACCAGGGGCTCCAGGAAGTGAGCACATAGCCTCCAAAGAGATCAGGATTGGCACTTCATCAGAGCGAGTCCCGCGGTCATGCTCAGGACAGCTCAGCCACGTGGGACTGGGCATTTTGGGGAATGGGCTTGGGCCCCAAGCCTCATCTTGGCTCTTCTCCTCTGAAGGATCTGAGCCACCCCCCCACCAGTGCCTAGGCTAGGGGCATCTAGTGCCTGCTTCTTTGAGTTGCTGCCTCGAACCGTCCCCCTCTTCCCAGCCAAGTGTGGCTGTGTGACCCAAGCCCACCCTCCGGCTGGTCTGGCTGGGGCTCCTCCTCGTCAGTGGCGGGGAAGGTGCTGAACCACCCACTTAGCCCACGGAGCCGTCCTTCACTGCCACCTCCACTCTTCCCCCGAGACAAAGCAATGAGCACCCACATGTGACAAGATGGGGCTGCGGGCCACCGAGCAGTGCCCCACCTTGGGATGAAAGTCTCCCTGGGTCTCAGCGGCACAGGCTTCCCAGGCCCAGGCTGGTAGCCTTGAGGGCCCCAGGTCCCCTGCCCTCAGGGCTGCTTGTTTTCTCACTGCACTGGGAGAGAGGACTCACCGCAGTGCTCCAGAAGTGGACAGGAGCTGGAGGGGAGCGCCTGTCCAGTGTGCCTGCCCAGCACGACAGGTGCTGAGAGGTCTGCCTGGCCCAAGGAAGAGGTGGCAGAGGATGAGTGGAGACGGCGGGCAGCTGAGTCCCGGGGTCCCCTGGGATCTGAACAGGCCGCCTGCACTGCCCAGGTTTATGACGGGGATTTGGATCTCCCTTCTCCCCACAGCTCCTGGTCCAGCCCTAGGGCCACCTCCTACCAGGCCAGCAAGTCTCCATCAGGCCTTGGCCCTCCCAGGGTCCCACCCAGGCCTCTGCTCAAAGGGGTTGGCTGAAAGAAGGGGCCTGGGAGGTGGCGGGTAGCGGTAGGGGACTGACCGAGTGGGCAGGTGAAGCGGCATCCACCATCTGCTCTCTCTTTGGAGGGAAGGGTTCCTGTGCAGAGGCCGGGAGGGGCTAGAGGATTGGCCAGTGGGCCCTGGGCTCCCTGAGGCTCCAACAGCTAGGCCTTCTTCCCTCTTGGGGCGATGGGTGGGGCTCTCTTCCCCACAAATCCCAGGAGGCCAGACCCCTCCCCAGCAAGCCTCAGGGTGCCCAGTTCCCCTTCTGGGGCCCTCCAACCTTGGCCAAGGCCCGACCCCTCCAGAACCAGGCACATGGCCAGCTCCCCACCGGCCCAGGTGTCCAGGGCAGAAAGCCCCCAGCCACGCATCCACATGGCTTGTCCTGGAGTGTAACTGTATCTAAAACCTGTCTCATAGGTCCAGGGGCTCATGGTGCTGGGGAGGGGAGCTCAGAGCACGAAGGAAGTCCAGGACCTCAGCCAGCCTGGTGGGCTGGGGGCCTGCAATGCTGCTGCACCAGGGCTGTGGTCAGGGGACGCCGGCCCACAGCCCTGGTCCAGTTACTGGGGGGACCATGCTTCGACCAGGCGGCGCTGGGATCGGGATCTGTGGGAGGGCCTGTCAGGGCCAGAGGCCCAGGGGCTTCCGCCTGGGAAGGGGCTGCGCCGATGTGAGGCCCCAGGGGGTGGTGGCAGCCCTCTCCGAAGCCCCCTCCCCAATCCTCATTGTGGCCGCCGCGATGGCGTGGCCTGGCCCCTTCCCCGCCCCGAAACCTGGTCCGGTGCACACACCTTACCTCGGCCCGGGCACCTGGCTCATGCCACGCCGTCCGCCGGGCGGCGTCTTCTCGTCATGGGGAGCCCGGCATGGGCGCTGGCGAAGCGGGGAGGCGGCCGAGGTGCTGGCCTGGCCGGCAGGGCCCTGCCGCGCCCCGCGCCCCGGCCTGGCCGGCCCCCTCGGCCGCGCCCGGAGAGGAGCTCCCCGGTGGGAGAGGATCGGCTGCCCCGAGCCTCCCACCGGGGAGGCTGAGGCAGTGCCCAGATAAATAAGGCCGCTTTGCAGGGAGCCGGGGCGGGCGCCTCCTCCCTCCCCTCGCCCTCCTCCCTGCGCTCCTCCGCGGCCGCCGGCGGCGCCGCGCGCGCCCCCCGCCCGGCTCTACGCGCCGCGCCCTCGCGCGCTCCCGGCGCCGGGAGCCAATCCGGTTGGCGAGCCCGGGCGGGGGAGCCGAAGATGCCGAGCCCCGCCCCGCCCGCCGCGCCCTGCCGCGCGCACCGCGCGCTCCCGCCGCGGCGCCCACGGGCACGCGCCGGCCCGGCAGCACCCCCACCTCTTCGCCGCGGGCGCTCGCACAACAACAAACCCGCGCGCACGGCGGGGCGGGGCGGGGCGGGCAGGGCGCGCGGCCGGAGGGCTGGCCGGCGGAGAGCCCTGCCTGCGCGGAGAAGTGGGGTCCCGGAATCCTGCGGGGGGAGAGGACTCGAGCTCTTTGGCGCTGGCGATTGGCCAGGGGGTGCGCGGTCTTGTGGGGCCGGACCCGCGCGTCCCGACCCTTGGATGCCACCTGCGGGGGCGAGGGTGGTCCAACCCTCACCCTCCGAGCCCTTCCTGCTTAGCGGAGGGGAGCATAGCCGGCGGCCTTGACGGCCCTCAAATCTCGGCGCACCTGCTGGCTGCCGGGCCAGAGACCCCTCAGTGCCCAGCCCCCCGCAAACCCCAGAAACAAGCCACCACCAGACCATCTCAGAGAGTGTGACAAGTGCGATGAAAGTTCAAGAGGGCCACGTGATGGTGACCTCGGGAGGGTGGTGGTGGTGTGGCTGGACCGGGGAGACTCCTCCGTGTCCAGGCACCAGGCCAAGGAGTGCCCCCCGGGAGGGGTGCTTCTGGGGAGGCAATGCCTGTCCTGAGGACAGGACCCTTGACAGGAGACCCCAAGGATGAGAGGATGGGTGAAGTTATCCAGGAAGGAGTGTGCACAGGTCTTTAGGTTTGGAGTTCTTGAGCTGGTGAGTTCCCTCTGGAACCCCCTGGAGGCGGTGGTGGCGGCCACTTTGGAGGGAGCAGGCTGGGGGAGAGGGGCTGGGGTGGGGTGTGGAGGAAGGGTGTTCAGGGCTCCCTCCTGGCCCCTGGAGATGCCAGGCTTCCCAACAGGCTCAGAGTGGAGAATGGAGGCTAATGGTACCCATCGCAGGGTCTCCTGGGAGCAGAGACCGTGGCGGGATCAGGTGTGGGAGAGCAGACAGTGGTCTTAGCACTAGGAAAAGAGCCTTGAGGAAGGCCCTTGAGAGTGTCTGAGAGAAATGAAAACAGCTGGTGTTGGCAGCATTCTGGTGGGAAACAGGACCCAGTGGGGCTGGCACGAGGCGGGGGCAGCTGCAGGGTGGAGCCTGTTTGGGAGCTGGGGGGCCGGCCTGGCTGCATGCGGGGCGCTGGATCCAGCTCGTCGAGGCTGGGGTGAAG